TGAAAAGCTTTGATTGAGTTAATCGAGTTCCTGCAGAATAAGGAGCCTCCAGAGATAAAGTTTATATGCTTCGGGGTGGTAGCCCCTACACCCTCCCGGCAAAGCCGCAGGCTTTATAGGCGCTGACATAAAGTTTTTTTCGAGGCGGGAGGGGGTGTGGTGATTGACTTCATCGGGCCTCCACAGAGGTTAGAACTGAATCGTTTCTATTCTCTGTTTGGCTGCTGGAGGGGGCGATTGTTCACCTTCCTCCGTTCTGTCTCGTTTGTTCTTGGCGGCCATTTTTTTAGGCGTCTTTTTGGTTTTGGAGCGATGTTTGGAGGGTTTTCCTCTTCTGAGGGCTCTTGCTCGGGGTTTTCCTCATTACTTAGTGGGTTCTTTGCTGCAACTAGTAAGCGTGCTGCCGCGCGACATTCTTCAGTGGAATGCTCCTTGCGTATGTGGTGTTTGCAAAAATTGTTGGCATCGTATTCGGATCGTTTGTGCGGGTTCGGACTGTTGATGGCGAACGACTGTTGGTTTCGGCCCACGGATTCCCTTTTGGGGTTTCTTTTTTGCGAGCTGAGGCTTTGAGCCAATAGGCCGGCTTCATGTTGCTTCTGTTCGAGGGCCTTAGTTTCTTCTGCTTTTGCGAAAAGCATAGCTAGGTGCAACGCGTCGTTCAACGAGGTGATGCATCTGATTGAGAGTTCTAGTTTGAGGCCGGATGCGTATCAGAGTCCGTGCTTCAGGGCTTCCAGCGCTACTCCTACGTTGAGGTCTGAGATTTTGTATTTTATTTCTTTGAACTTCGTTAAGAAGCTCCAGAGTGGTTCGTTTTCGCCCTGCTTTAGGCTGTACAGGTCGGCCTCGGTGGTCTTAGTTTCAATGAACACCGAGTACTGTTTAAGGAAGACGGCTACGAACTAGGTAAAGTTGTTGATGGAGCCGCTTTCCAGGCTCGCAAACCATTCCTGCGCTGGGCCTACGAGGGTTCGGGGCCGAGCTTGCGTCGTTTTTGTTGAGTGGGTTTAAAAGTTGGGTCGACGTGTAGTTCGTGCTGGGCGAGGGCGGGGGGTATTCCTTCCATGTCGTCGGTCTTCCAGGCGAAGGAGGAGGCGTTCTCTCGGAGGAAATCGACCAGCTCGTCCCTGAGGTCGTCATTTAGTTTGGCTCCGATACCGACGCATCTTTCCGGCTCGCTTATATCGATATTTACTTTGATGACTTCTTCTCTCTGTTTGTCGTCCGGTGGCGGGAGTATGCCTTTCACCTTAGTAGTCATCATACACATTGGGTCGATTTTCTCAGCTTGTGTTCGACGATGAAGCACGTCCTTGCGATCCTTTGGTTTCCTCGGATTGTGAATATGCCTCTTGGTGTCGAGAATTTTATGCATTGATGGTAGAGGGACGGGACCGCTTTCATCTGGTGTAGCCACAGGGTGCCGAGAATCACGTTTTAGATTGCTGGTTTGTCGATTACAACGAATTTGACGATCTTGGTCGTGTGTCCAACGTACACTGGGAGTTTGATAGTGTCGGTCGTCATCGTGGTGTCTCCCGCAAATCCCAAAAGTGGTTCGACGCTTGCTTTGAACTTGGTTCCTTGTGGTTCCATTCGCTGCAGCGTTTCTTTGAATATCAGGTCGATGGTGCTGCCGGTGTCTACTAGGATACGGGTGACTTCGCAGTCACCGTTTCGAAGCTCTATGACGAGCGGGTCATTGTGCGGCGTGTCTATTCCTTCTAAGTCCTCTTCTTCGAAAGATATGTCGGCCGACTTTGAATTCGTCGATGGCGTGGCGTTTCCACTTCTGGGCGGCGATACTATGTCTTTCGTACCCATTAATTGAACGGACTGAGTCTCTGCACGTAGGGAGTCCTCCCATGATCATGTTGATTTTTCTTCTCGCGGGGGGTTGGGCGTCACCGTCGTCTTGGCCGTTGTGTCCTCTTTTTGGGGGTGACCCTAATGGTTGACCTGGCAGAGCGAGTGCAGGCTGTTGTCTAGCCTGCTCCTGGGCGATTTTGAAGCGCTCTCCCTCGTTCTTGGGTTGCGGGTCTCTTCTCTTCTCGTTTGGCCGCGAACTTCCGCCAGACTCCGTAAGCTCTCTCTGGTACCGTGCGAACATACTTTCGTGCAGTAGTCGGCATTCTTCGAAAGAGTGGCCATAACGATTGTGGAAAGTGCAGAACGGCTTTGAACCTCCGGGTGACTCTTGGTGATTCGGCTGAATGTATTTGTTCGATCGCCCGCTGCGCCATTTGTTGAATTGTGTATCGTTGACGACGAAGGTGGATGGCTTGTTCCCTCTATCATTCCTTTGGTAGCTGTTATCGTTGTCCTGCCGGGCTCGTGATACTCTTCCTTCGGCTTCTCTTTCGGAGTTGGCGCTTTTGGGGTTCCGTATATTTTGGCTTTTTCGATCCTCTCTTCTTCCAGCTCGATAAAGACTGTCGTTATATGCAGTGCGTCCTCCAGCGTTTAGGGTCTATTTTTCTTCAATTCTTCGTAGAGACCGGATTCGTACCAGAGTCCGTTTCGAAGTGCCGGGATTACCGCTTCATCCGATATCGGCACTTTGGAGACGATGCTCTTGAATTTGCCAATGTATGAGCGCAGCGACTCCTTTTGGCCTTGTCGAAGTGTGTACAGGTCCGCCTTGCATGCTCCTTTCTCGATGTACATTGAGTAGTGCTTGAGGAAGGCCATGCTGAGTTGGTTGTAGCTGTTGACTGAATTTGCTTCTAGCCTCGAAAGCCATCTTAAGGCGGCGCCGGTGAGGTTTTTGACAAACAGTTGACAGTAGCCCGCGTCGCGTTCTTGGGGGGGGGGGGGGGGGGGGGGGGGGGGGGGGGGGGGGGGGGGGGGGGGGGGGGGGGGGGGGGGGGGGGGGGGGGGGGGGGGGGGGGGGGGGGGGGGGGGGGGGAATGGGACGCGGCGCATTACTGCGTTAAAGGTTGTCATGAACGGCGTGGGGTCCGTGGTTCCATCGTATGAGTCTATTTTGATTTTTCGAGATGTCTCGCCGGCGAGTTGGCGATGCGGCTTGTAAACGGCGTGTTCTGCGTTTCCTCTAGAAAGCCGTCTATTTCGAGTGCCAAGCTTGTCGCTTGTTGGACTCTGGAGCTCATCTGACGTATTTGGGCCTTCATGCTCTCGAGCTCGTCATTCTGTCGGTTTTGGCGACGATCGTTGATAGCGGGACGTTCGTGAGTTATTTGCTCTTGTCAAACAATTGCAAAGGGCTCTTCGAATTATTCGGCTGGAGTCGGGATCGTCTCGTTGAACAGGTTTCGTTGTATTCGTGAAGCGAGGGTGACTTGTCTTGGCGCCCGCTCTCGGTTGTCACTATGGAGCTCGTCAATTCGAGCATGACAAACGTGCTGAGCCGTGGTCAGCTCGTCGAGTCGCTTGTTCACTCTTGAGCGTTGTTACTCATCTGGGCGAGGAGCATCTGTAGCAAGCTCGAGACGTTGGTTTGTGCTGGTGCTCCACTCGCCGACTCCTCCTGTCTTGCAACGTCGGGAATCGTCCTTGTTGCTCTGTATAGATTGGAGAGAGGCGTCGTTGTTGTTAGGAAGGCCGGTCTGGTTGGCGGTATGTAGGTTCTATAGGCCGAGGCCATTGAGGTTGCTCGAGTAGTTGCCATTTGTTGGGTCGGCTCCCGTGGCGTCTCCTGAGAGGTCGGCATGTCGGGTGAAGATGTCGGCGCCCTGGAGATCGGCGAGGTCTGCCTTCCGGATGTTGGAGTCGTCCCTACTGGTGGAATCCCCTCTGTCATTGTCGATTCGATTTGTAAGTAGAGAAGAATCTCTTTCCCAACAGACGGCGCCAACTGTTGGGACTAGAATCCGCACTAAGTAAAACAGTCAAGTAGAGAGTCGAATTCGGAGATTTTCTTATTAGATGTTCGATCAAAACGACAAATACAAGGAGGAGAAAACAAAGACGAAGTCTTCAAAAACTTTAAGTAATAAAAAGACGGCCCGTTTTCTGAGTTTTGGGGATTGTCAAGAAGAGAGCTATCAAAAGAGGAAGAAAAACGTCTATTCTCTCTCGGGAAAAAGTGGACTTCAGGAGTGGAGACTGCCGAACACAAGAATCGAAAAAAACGTCTTCTTAATCCGAAAATCAGATATCTTATCACATCAAGATGCTGTGATATTAATAGCACCTTGATGGCGATGTCATACATTGGGCCCATAGGCTTTTTCCGCAAATGGATTGAATCATTTATTCTGTAAACGGGCCGGGCTGCCATCTGCTTCTATTTGACTTAGAGTTGACTTCAGCTAATGGACTTTCTTCAATATTGATCCATTATTTATAAATGCTATGGACCAATTCAATAGGCCTTTGGGCCCGGTACGAACAAAGTTGCAAAAAACAATATAGCTTACAGTTCCAAAGTTATGAAATCACAAACAATTGAGTTCCCCTGAAAACATCACCTACGATATGCATGATGCTCTTGGTACCCAGATATGAAAGTTTCAATCTTGATTTAAGGACCGAGCTTCACAACTGGCCAAATATACACACCAATATGATTCACGTCACTACTTGTATACGAACTAGAACAATATATAGTCAAAAATCAACAATTTCACTAACAAGCTTAGACGTTGATGCTAAGCCAAAAATAAAGAAATTCACTATCAAACTTCGACACCAGTAGACTTCACATAATCATCACTTATTTTTAAAAAAAATTTAGGTTTCGTAAATAGATATAATTCTCAGCACAACCAAGCTCCAATTCTATAAAACCAAATTCGTGCACTGCCAGAAACAATCTAATGCTGTCAATACATACTGAAACAACAATATCCAAGCTTTCGCCATTTAATCCAAATTCATTCATTGTTACAGAACTTTGATACTGAAACTTTCGAGTCCAATACATTATCCTTACCTTATACTTCCAAATGCAATAACTATAGACGATATAAAGATCAAAACCTGATAAGATCCATAAGCTTTTGCATCACTCAATGGAGAGTGTTAATTCTTAACTATCCTCCTCTGCTATTGTTCAGAATCGAACCCAAAGTTCCCAAAACAGCAAAAGCAAGCAAAGGGCTAACGTCAAGCGTATCAAACACCGGAGGGATAATGTTCCTGAAGAGATTCAGATAAGGATCACAAAGATCTCTAATGGCAGACAAAGGCTGGCGATCCCACGGGATGTTCGGGAACCAACTAAGCAAAACCCTGACCATCAAAACACCACTGTAGATATCAAGCCACTTCGATAGCCCCGCCGCAACAACTGTCAACGGCGTGTTCAGATAACCGGCGGGACGGTCACGGATCGCAGCGAAGAACATCGGGCCGGAGATTCGGAGAGAAGATTGGATCTGTGGGGAGAAGTTTACAATCGCGGCGGCAAGTTTGTGAATTAGGGATTTGGTTACGATTCCGGCTAGAATCGCGAGGGTTGTGATTGATTTAGTTGAGTCGGAGAAGGAATACTGAGGAGGGGGTTTAGTGGAGCGTATTGGTGATGTGTAGGTCACGGCGGAGACGATGGTTTTAGGGTTTTTGAGGGAGATGTTGAAGGTAGATCTATGGGGAAGAGAGAGACTGAGAGGAGGATTACGGTTATGGAGGTTGGGATGGAATTTAGGGTTGATAAGGACTGAAGAGCGAAGAGAGAGGATGTTGGTGGTGGAAGAAGCCATTTTCGTTGCTCGGAGCTGGAGATTAGTCCTCAAGCCTCAAGGTGTTGTTGGATCGAAATCATAGCTCAGTTAAGCTTTTATCAAAAAGGGTGACGGATAAAAAAAATGTGGAAAATAAAATAATATTTTTATATATTTTATAAACGTTTTTTTCTTTTTTTTTCTAAGGAAAAATAAACATTTTTTAATAACAATTCTAGCTAAAAAAAATTGAATTCAAGAATTTAGGTGTTGATTAATTATCACGCAAACACTCATAAATATAGGTTTTATAAAGAGTAATAAATAAAAAGAAAGCAACCACAGTAAATGTTTTTTATTGTTTTATACTGTTTTTTCTTTTTTTTGAAATCAAAAATTTCTTTTTATTAACCTTTACAGTTAAAAAATTTATAATATTATAATTACAAAATATAAAATTAAATTTGACATTTTAGAGTATTAACTAAATTTGTTTTATGATCAAAATTTGATATTTATTAATTTTCATTATAATTTTATATTTTTAAAATTTCTAAATTAGAATATTTCGGATAATTTTGTGTCTATTAATAATATATATAAATATATATATTTATGTATATATTTAATAAATAAAATTATTTTATTTATAAGAATTATAATTGTGAGTTGATATTTGTCTCAGACCAACATCTAAAAGATCTGCGTCATTAACTTAAAAAAAGGTGAGAAGTGTGTGGGCTGTACAAATCGAAGCCCATTTTGCTGCACATATGAAGAAGATGAAGCCGACTGTAGTTTATATGATAAACGCAAAAGCAGAGGAGATAAAAAGAAGAGATTCACCTTGATTCTCTTCAATGTTATCATCTCCGGATTCTTTTAGGGTTGCAGCTTAGTCTTTGTAGTTATATATATAGCTTGTTAATCACCTCCGAGAGCTCAGAGAGATCGAGCTAAAACATGTATAACAAAGAAGAAACAATCTTGATTATCTTTGTGATATAGTGAAAACTTAAGAGTTTTGATCTCTTCCCAGACGTACCGTAAGGGAACTGGGTTAACAATTGTTGTGTCTTTCTTACTTTACTCATACACATCGTTCTTAAAGCAAGTAACAAATCAAAGATCATTTGACAACACTAGTCGAATTCCGTAACAAGTGGTATCAGAGTTGCTCGTTTAAGCAGTAAGGTGAATACGATAAAGTATTCAAGGCTGTGTGTTACAAGATCCGATCAAGCTGCATGAGTCTTTGCTCTAAGTTTGAGTTAAGTCCTAGAAGAAAAATCAAGGCGGTTCAAAAGCATAGTTTCGGGAGACAAGCATTGGTCAAAGTCGGAGGCTCAGGAAACTATGGATCCAGTTCATAAATTTGAAATGGAAAAGTTTGATGGCAAGGGAGATTTTGGCATGTGAAAATTCAAGATGCTTATGCAACTTGAAGTGCAAGGTTTCGGAAAGGTTCTGCAAGAAGTTACCCAAGCATCTCCTTCAAGGAACAAAGGAATATGAGTTGTACTACCAGAGACAAAACCTGAGACGAGTCTCACAGAGGACGTCAAGAAGGAGAAAGACGTAAGAGCAAAGAACCTGATATGTTCGAGTTTATCGAACATGGTCCTGAGAAAGGTAATGAAAGAATCTACTGCTGTAGATGTTTGGAAAGCGCTTGAACCGGAATATCAAGCAAAGAACCTACCTAATCGTGTATACCTAAAGCAACGATTCGCCAGCTTCAGGATGGAAGAACACAAGAGCATAGAAGAATATATGGATCTGTTCTTGAGAATGGTAGATGAGTTAGAGAGTCTTGAGATCGTGGTAACAGACGAAGATCAAGTTGTACAAGTACTGTCAGGATTACCAAAAGCTTATGCACCACTGATACATACTTTAAAGTACGGTAAACGGGAGAGACCTTTGACGCTAGAAGAGGTTGTCACATCTGCAACAGCTAAAGAAATTGAGCTACATGAATCAGGACACCTGGGAAAATCATGAAGCGAAGGAGAGGGGTTGTATGCTGGTAAAGGAAAAACTGAGAAGAAGTATGAGTCTTACTCCAAGAGAAAAGGAAAGAGTAGAGACAAATCAAAGTCTAAACATAAAAGTCAAGCAAACACCAGGGAATGTTGGACTTGCGGTAAACAAGGGCACTACAAGAGGGACTGTCAAGAGAGAAAGGGAAATGCAGCAAATGTCGCAGATAAACAAGAACCTATGGTGTGTTGGAAAAGTCTCAAAAACAGAGTTTTCCTAAAGGCAAGCACATGTCTAAGGAAGTGTTGGAATACATACACACGGACCTCTGGGGTTCATCAGGAGTGGAAGAAAGCTTGTCAGGATGCAAGTATTTCATCACATTCATAGATGACTACTCGAGAAAAGTGTGGATCAGCTTTCTGAGAACTAAAGATGAAGCTTTCCAGAGCTTTAAAGAATGGAAACAGCTAGTGAAAACTCAGGAAGGGAAGAAAGTGAAATGTCTACGAGCTGACAATGGACTTGAGTTTTACAACAATCATTTCGACAACTTGTGCAAGACCTAAAGCATTAAAAGATACAAGACATGCTCTTACACACCACAGCAGAATGGTGTATCTGAGAGAATGGATCGCACTATCATGAATAAGGTCAGATGTATGCTGGCAGAAACAGGTTTTGGAAAGCAGTTTTGGGCAGAAGCTGCTTCTACAGCTGTGTACCTCATTAACAGGTCACCAACTTCAGCATTACAGTTTAAAATTCCAGAGGAAATGTGGACTGGTGGAGACATCAGTTTGGGATATTTAAGGAGGTTTGGCAGTGTAGCATACATCCATGTTACACAAGACAAAGTAAGTCCGAGAGCAGTTAAAAGGTCATCCTCAAGGAGTTAAGGGCTATAAGATTTGGATTCCAGAGGACGGCAAATGTACTACAAGTAGGAATGTGGTGTTCCACGAAGAACTTGTATTTAAAGACAAGAATCATAAGAAAGCGCCAAAAGACAGGAAGGGAATAGCAGTTACTTTCGAGTACGAACATAGAAAGATAAACTCATGTCAGAAGGAGCAACTTCGGGATCAAGGGAGTTACCCTTGGGATCAGATGAAGATTCATCTGAAGAGGACAGCTCATAGTCAGATTCAGGTGGAGCTACATCAGAAAAGCATAGCTGAGAATCTGATCCAGGTGGTGCTACATCAGGAAAGGATAGCTCAGAGTCAGATTCAGGTGGAGCTTCATCAAAAAAGAGAAAGCTCAGATTCAGACAGAATGTCATCCGAAGCAGACAAGTCAGAATCAGAACAACTGTTGGAGCAGGAATCAAACCAAGAAATCAATAAACTAGTCTCTCTCATGGATTATATCCTTACTCGGGATAAAGAATCGCGGATCAAAAAGCTGCCAGAGATATATACAAGCGGAGACTACGTCGTCTCTTATGCACTGTAATGTGCTTTGGACATTGAAATAGAAGAGCCAAGGACAGTTGCTGAAGCTATGAAAAGCAAGTACTGGAAGGAGTGGAAATGAGCAATGCAAGAGGAGATGGATTCTATGTACAAGAATGGGACTTGGGAAATCATCACTATACCGGACAGGAAGAAGATAGTGGGATGCAAGTGGATTCAAGTACAAAGAAGGAATTCTAGGAATGGAGCTACCAAGATTCAAGGCTCGACTGGTATCCAAAGGATTCACTCAAATCGAAGGAGTTGATTACAACGAGATATTCTCTCATGTGGTAAAACATGTTTCCATAAGGAAACTACTATCTATTGTAGTCAACTTCGATCTGGAATTGGAACAGCTGGACGTTAAAACAGAATTCCTTCATAGAACTCTAGATGAGGAAATCTATATGAATCAACCAGAGGGATTCATAGAGAAGGGAAAGGAATCAGGGGTATGCTCACTAAAGAAGTCGATGTATGGATTAAAACAATCGCTTAGACAATGGAATCATCGGTTTGATGAATTCATGAAGATTCAGAGGTTTACTCAAAGTCAGCGTGACACATGTGTGTACTTCAAAGGAACCAACATTGATGATCGGGTGTATCTCTTACTCTACGTTGAAGACATGTTAGTAGCCGCAAAAGACAGAAAAAGAATTCAGAAGCTAAAGAACAGCTTAATGAAAGAGGTTGAGGTGAAGGATTTGGGACCGGCTACAAGAATACTAGGAATTGACATTGTCAGAAACAGAAAGAAAGAGACGATCAGACTGTCTCAAGGAAAATAACTGAGACAAGTTTTGAAGACATTTAACATGGAAGGGGCAAACTCAGTTATTACTCCTACAAGTTCTCAGTTTAAGCTAAAGAAGCTTACAGAAAGAGAGGTGCTATTAGAAGCTAAAAATATGGAAAATTGTCATACACATTCGCAGTTGGTAGTCTGATGTACGCAATGATTGGGTCTCGACCTGATTTGGGTTTTGCTATTTTTTTGGTTAGCAGATACATGCCCCAACCAGGGAGAACTCATTTGGCAGCTGTCAGATGGATTTTGAAGTATATTACAGGAGCGTTGGATATTGATCTAAAATTTACTAAGTCAGATAAGTTTGATATAGTTGGGTTCAGTGACTCGGACTATGCTACTGATTTAGATAGAAGGATATCAGTGTCGGCATATGTATTTATGGTGGGAGGAAATACTGTCAGCTGGAGAGCACAACTACAACCAGTAGTGGCTTTGTCAACCACAGAGGCTGAGTATATAGCTCTCATAGAAGCAGCAAAAGAAGGAATATGGTTTACGGGTATCTGTGATGAGTTGGGGTTTAAGACTGCGTGTTTTAGTCTACATTGTGATTCTTATAGTGCAATTTGTCTAGCAAAGAATGCAGTTCATCATGACAGGACTAAACACATATATACTAAGTATCATTTCATCAGAGACTTGGTGAACGATGGATCTATCAACCTACAGAAGATACATACTACCCTAAATCCAGCCGATTTCCTAACCAAGAGTGTACCTGGTAAATGCTTTGAGCGATGCCTTGCTACGCTCAAGATTATCGCCAGATTAGAAGGAAATGG